CGGGCTCCCTGGAGGGGCGGTCGGTGCCCCAAGCCCGGCAGCGTCTGGGATCGCCTGGACGGTGGCCATAACAGCAGGGTTTAACTTCTGGTCAGCCCCGAGGCGGGCAGGCGGCTGGACTCGGCGGTCATTGCGGGCCCCTTCCGACTGGAATAATCCGTTCCGTTACCGAAATCTGTAACGGAAGCAAGCAGTTCTCCAGATCCGGTAACCGAAAAGCAGCTGCGGTAGCGTCTGTCACGTTAAGCCGTGGCCGCGCCTCAGGTCTCCGCTCCAGCAGGTCGCCGTGTTGTGCAGAAGGTGACTGGAGTTCCAGATCTCAAATCGTGTGGAAACTTAGAGGAAAAGTGAAGAAAACAGTGGCTGCGACACAAAAGTTCACTGTGAAAATCTGGGTCTTACAGGGATTGCTACAGAAAGAGGAGATAAGGAATCACACCTGGAATGGGGGTTGCAGTGGGAAAAAGGGGGGGATTATTACAGACTGCTCAGTAAAGACAAAAACACGCTTTTGAAGATTGCTCTGCTGGAAAAAGAGAGATTTCAGCCTTCGTGCTAGGTGCAGCTTCGTGTTCTGCTGACAAAACAGCTTATCAAAATTTTATTTCGATTATATTATTATCAAAATACTGTTTCCCTTCTGCTGTGCGTTTGCAGATGATGCGTTCGTAGATTGCACAACTTCGCTTGCTGAGGTTGTCTGCCTGTGTGGTGATCACGTGCACTGTTCCGTAAACACCGTCACTCGTTTGTCCTGTGTTATCTTAGATGTGCAGGCCGCTTGTCAGGACACCACTGTCACGCAGGAGCTTCTGAAAGAGGGGTTTCACAGGTGAGTTGTCAACACTGGCGCTGCAGCAGAACAACAATTTTACGGGATTAGAAGCTTCTCTCTAATTCGTGCGCAGTTGTATCAGCTCACTGAGCTGTGATCCATTGGCATGGGAAGCACCAGGAATTTATTAGCACAATCAAGTATTTAACAGTTACTGGCTCTAGCAGAGGAAGAACAGGAGGCCCTTTTCTAAGATAAAGATCTAGGAAGCCGTTGGTAGTTCTGAGAAGTTAACAGAGAAGTGAAACTTCATTTTGGTCATGGGTGCGGAGTCAGGGTGAACTACATTTTCCTCAGTGGAGAAGGACAGCATGGCTCGGCGGGGAACAGTTTTCTGAGTTTGTTCCACATGGTACGTGAGGGCTGCGTCTCACCTCTGCGTGTTTGAGAGTGTCTCTCAGCGGGGCTTGCGCCATCTTTTGAAGTGCAGGTATAAACATTTGGCTTCTCTTGCCTGTTGGAAGGGACCTGCTGGTGAAGGTAGAACTCGGTGTAGTGGAGGCGGATGCAGGAGGATGTGCAGTGGCAGCTAGAACTCGTCTTCCACCAGGAATCTACGTGGATCCCTACGAGCTGGCATCGCTGCAGCGGCACAATTTGACAAAGGTGACAACCCCAAAGCTAAGACATCTGGCAGTTACTCAGATAAGGATGAGTGTGCTCAGGAAGTTGTAATCTCTGGTCATTACCTGGCTCGTTGAATCAAGGTGATTAATTCCTTTTCCTGGAAGGAGATGCTGCACGGTATCATCTTTGTGACATCTCATTGTATCTCTCAGCCTGATAAGCATCAGCTGGTGCACGGTGTTTTTTGTCGTGTGCTGCTGATATTTCTACACAGAGGCATGCGTAGTGGGGAGCCACTGCAACTCTGCTCAGCCTCAGATGAGCAGCTATGGCAGAAGCTATTCAGGTTGGAAAGACGGAAGGTTAATCCCCACAAAAGAGGTGGTGGTGAGCCCTGAGTAACATGCTGGGCGTTTGGACTGAGTAGCTTCGCAGCTTCGTTTTCACCACAGCTTTCCGTGTTGCTTTCCAGCCTTTGCTTCGCATTCTGGGTAGAGGGATGTGCTAGGGCTGTGGCTTTAAGGTGATCTCCTTAGGCGCCTAATTCATTTAGAACACGGGATGGAAAGACTCTGGGCAGCTTCTGCTGTTGGGATGCTTGGTATGGCCTTGCTCATACACATCATTAAGCTAATTCCTCTGAGGTTTGGCTGTAGGCATGGTTGCACGGTAAACTTTTCACACATAAGAATCACTTCTTGGAGAGGGACTTGGAAAATTATTTCAGAACAGCTTAAGGACAGAACTCCAACTTGATCTTCCTGACCATGAAATCAGGCCCAGCGTTAGAACAAGGAAAAATGTTTTCTCTTCTGATGCTGCAGTAGGTTACCACAGCAGACAGCGCCCTCTTAAATCCCAGAATCATGCACAAAATGTTCAAACATTTTTTCCTCCCGCATCCCTTCCTTGTGTCAATTCTGATCGCAGCCACATCTGTATCTTTCTCCACTTGCAGGCGGTATTAATTCCTGATGTCATTGATGTGGAGGCTCCCGAGTACTTAGCCACGGATCTTCTTGTTCTCCTGTACCTGGAACCCGACCCTCGCTGTTCTCGCTGTTTTAGAGCTGCCTTGCCTGTGCACGGGCGGTACCACCGGCCGGCAGAAGACAGTGAGGAAGCGTTGGTTGTTCTGAAGAGCCCAGAAGTACTGGTCTGCTGCTGTGACAGTGAGATTCTCATTACGTGTTCTTTTGGGGACAGAGGAACAACTGGGCAATCCAGAGCTTGGAATCCAGTTCTGTATTTGTCTTCCAGAGATGGAGCTCTCAGTAGTCATGTGAGCATGAGGGGATGATAGTGGCCCTGATAAAGACCACGTTGTCTTCCTCTTTGAATGCTGCTGCTGCCTGACCAAGGCAGATTAATTGTCAACAGGCTTCTTGGTGTTGCACTGCCGCTGTTGTAGCCTTGTACGGAAAGCCTTGGCAGTTGGTCTGTTTGTCACAGTCCCCGCAGGCCCTGGTTTACTAAAGGTCAGCTGCTCAGACCGTGTTTTCACAGTGTTTCTCTTGGCAGCTGAAGCCACGCATGGCATATTTAATATTCACTATCAGGTATTTAGAGTAATCAAAGTATTCGGGTGGTTTCTAACACCTTCTTCCTGCATTCCTTACATATAAGGGAGGAACATAGAAAACTGTGTGCCTGAAGGCCAGAACGGTTGGAGTCTCAGACTCTTGTGAAATGAGAACCTGATAACCACTGACAATGAATATTTTAAGTTATATGAACAATTAAATCCTCCATTTTTGCTACCAATTGTATTTCATTTCACAAAATCATTCTTGCTAGCTGCCAAGTCAAATGTGCTAAGGATTCTCAGCTCCTTTATCTTCACTTGTGCATTATTCGAGCAATGATTTTCTGGGATAAACTTAGGGGCAGGGAGGACTGCCTGGTCAATTAAAAAAGAGGTGTGAAATCTTCCTATTTTGCTGCCGCATTTACTACTTATGAGCAGGAAAACATATTTATTATTAATATGAAACCATTTAAAGTATTGGAGGGGAGTTCTTGCATGTGCCAACAGGAGGCCAACAAGGAGAAATGGCAGAATGACTTCTGTGTTTTGGGGGAAGAGAAATCGTAACTGTATGGCTAAAGTTGAGGGGTCTACAGGCCAACGATGAATTCTTTGCCCTTTTAAGGACAGCAGGGCCGAGATACCACACAGGTGAGAATCTTCCTTGGGTTCCTGCTGGATCAGGAAGGGAAGAGTTGCAAAGTTCATGAAAAAGACTGCCCAGCACTGCTTTGACCGTGCGAGTTAGCTGGCACATTTCTGTCAGCGGTGTTTCACCTGTTGGCTTTCCGGGAGTAGATTCTGTCTAGCTTTTGTGGAGGAAAAAGACCTCATTTGGAAAAGTGTGGCGGGCTGTATTGCTTCATCTCGTGTGGATCCTGCTGATGCATTAACATCTTCCGTAGATCGCCTGTCAGCAGAGTGTTGGAAGCCTGTTGAAGTGGAAGCTCCTTGTTTAGGCAAAGACGATGTCCCTTGCCAGTGGTACAGCGTAACGCACAAACCTGTGAGTCCTTATTTCTAGTGGGAATTCTTGGTTCTCATTTAACAATTGCTGCCTTTTTTTCTGTGATTAGCAACTTCCATAGCACAGGAACTCAGTAAAAGATTGGTTGTGTGATTCCCCCTAAGGGAGGCTCCCTTCTTCCTTTCTGAGCGGCTTTTAATGGGTGTCCTCCTGCCCTTCTGACATGCTTGTAGTCACTCTGCGCTCTTGTAGTCCTTTATGGTGCCTGCTCTCCTCACCTTTTTTTAACAGTTTACTTGGAATTCTAGGATATAATTTGCAGTGGCCAAATTAAGAAAGGTCTTTGCAAAATAGGTGCTTCAGAGGAGTAGCAAAGTGGAAAACTGCTGAATGATCTAACTAAAGGAGGGGTAAAAGCCCAAAGATTGAAGAGATAACACCTTAATAAAAGGCCAGTTCTGTTTGTTGGGTTGCTACCTGAGTAGCTAAGTATCTAGGAAAAGGTGAAGTTTCTTTATTCTGTGTTCAGAACCTAGGAAAGATGGATCTTTAGTGTGGTCAACAACTGCCTTTGATAGTCGAAAGTGTTGCGGTAGTATGGAGATTCAGAAATAAGGCTAATTTGTCTCATAGCAAATCTGTTGTTTTTTGTAACACGCATGCCTTCCTATATTTAAGATACCTGCAGACGTCTGGCATGTTTGCAGCTCTTGTCCAAAAACGTTTTGGAGCCTTCTGCGTCACAGAGAAACCAAGTAGTTGTTCACCTTGGAGAAAACTGGCTTTTTGGTGCTCTGTGAAACACTCATTCTGAGAGCTTCTCCCTTCAATGCTGTATTACGTACATATCCTCAATGGCAAGCCTATTGTAAGAACAAGACACAGAGGATATAAATGGCTACCATTCAAAATGGTAGCAGATACATTTATTGAGCTTTGTACTGCAAGAGCGGCTGGTGCTCTGTTTGTCGTAAATTGAAAGGTGGTGTCCCATCTCGGCTTTGATTTTGAATCCCAGAAGAAGCCTTAGCAAAGGGTCAGTTAAATAGTGGTCTGGTTACTAATCTTCTAAATTGCAGTCAAAAAGAAATAGCTTGTTAAATGTGTGTAATACATTTATTTGTCTTTGTAGGCATCTGAGGAATTGATTCTGCAGATTCCAGTGGGGCTCAGGCAACATAGTTCCTTAGTGTGTGTCGTGACTCTTCTTGTCACCGTGCTCTGTTCCAGCCTGATTCTTGCAGCTGTATGCAAATACGGACACTTCTCCCCGGTGACCGGCTCGGAGTAAAGACATACGGAACGACAGACCTCCATCCAGCAAAACTCATTGAATAATCCATCAGCTTCCTAAATGAATCCTACTCTGCTGTTCTTTATATCTTGGTGATGCGCGGGTGTCCCATAATGTGTTAGAGTTCCCTTGGCCTAAGTCTGACCAAAACCTTTCACACACCAGAAGACTGTTTTGGTGCGCTATGAATAGACAAAGCAGATGGAGGGCAGGAATAGCGCTGCAAAAAGCTGGAAGGACTGCCACAGTCTCGGTCTCCCATTCCCTCCCCCTGGCCCAGAGCCTGCTTCGACTACAGTGCTGCCTCTTGCAGAGGTGTTTGTATTTCTTGAATTTAAGCCAATGGACTTGGAGATTGGTTATTAAGGGTATGAAAAACATTATCTAGTCATTAAAGTTTCTGAATTTTAAGCTTGTTGTCCAGATGGGTTATGTATGAATTTGTGAAGAGACATTCTGTGCTTACCTGGGACAGGAGAAGGCTTAAATAATCTCTCCCCTTCTAGTAACTGGGAGGGATTAGCTGCTCTTGGTCAAATTAGGTCAGAGTTGAAAGAGTTTGGAAGATTCGAAGGAAATTTCTACCATACCAGAAGCTGAAAGAATAGCCTTTTGAAGACAAAAGCTGGTGAAATGAAGCAAATATTTAGAAGACTTGCATTCAGCCATCAGAACAGTTGATAAACAGAAAGAAATGGAGAGGAATTACTTAATGGAAAACCTGAGTTGCTCTGGAATGACAGGAGAGCTCGGCTGCTGTTTCTAATTGTCAGTAGGTGGCATTGTGAGCTTATGGTAACTCCTGGGGACTGTTGGTGGGGCAACTAGATTTTATTCCCTATGTCTGAGGCTAAGTTAGTAAAAGCAGGTGATTTGGGGGAGTGCGTATGTGAGGGGGATGAATGAAAATTCTAGTTTTCAAATTCTGTCCTGCTTTTGAGTGCTCTCTGTGTGCAACCGAGACTTCTCATGAGCTGAATCGTCCTTTCATCACTTCCCAGCTGTAGCTTCAGGATCCCTTGGGCATCTTCCTGCTTCTGCTGGAATTCAATAGAGAGCTCATCTTGTGACTTCGCCCACGACAGGTTGGCAAGTGTTCTGACACTGGCCTCTTGTTTTCCCTTGACTGCACTGAATGATGATGGCTGCGCCAGTACTTCATCCACTGCCTCAGAGGAGTCATGCACTGCATCTGGTTGGGGGAAGGGAGAAATCAAAGAGAATGATTGCAGGGACATTTGCCAGCCTGTTCAACCACATCAGCGCAGCAGGGCTGTGGACCAGTATTGTAACGCTTGTCTCTGTGATTTTTAATTCCCAGAGTTGAGTTTGTTCTTGTGCTCACTCTCTTATGCCAGTAAGTAATTCTGTGTTGCAGTCTGACATTTGGTATCCAACATCCCAGACTGACACTCGGCTCTGGCAGATCTTCATCACCTGAAAGCCCACGTTTATTTTAACAGCAGTTGAAATTCACGTGTTGAATTCGTTAGCTAAAACAAGCTGCCTGATATCACAGCCTAGTGAAAGGAAATGGTAATGTGCTTTAGACAAACAAGAAAAAATATTGCAAGTGGCTAAAATATGTAAGTGGATGATTTGGAAACGTGTCTGAGTGAGGACGTGACAATGGAACCCCACATCAGTGGTAAGATGCCATAGGAGAAACTGAGGCAGGAGGGGCTTGAATTACAGGGGGCTTAGCACTGTCAGTACTAAACAGTTGACTTCAAAACAGTTTAAATGTGCACTAGTCAGTTTGGTTGGCATGTGGCTCACTAAGTTTATCTAGAATTCCTCAAGATCCCATGATAAGCTTTTCAGTTTGAGTAATGCTGATTCTGATTCATGTAAAATATGAGAGAAATTGCAGAGCTTCTCAATGGATGTTTTTTATTATGGCAAATAGCAAACATTTGCAGTTTTTAAATCCACAGCGTTTGTATTATAAATATAGTAGACAAGTTTTTTCTTTAAAAGCTGTAAATTAGTCTAATAACTATTGTAGTGTTATGTATGAAGGAATTTGCCAGTGAAAACTTTCTCTCCCATACCAGAGGCTCCTGTCGTTAAGGAAGCACTGCGTTTAGCAGGCATGTGCTGATGGTGTGCCAGGTGCAGGAGGATGCAGGCACCAGCCCTGCCAGGATCACTGGCAGATAACGGAGGATGAGCTGTAAGGCAGTTGTTCCCCTGTGGAAAAATTCTGGCAGCTTTGGAGACAGGAATGAGGTGGCTACAAGTTCTTAGCAAGAGAATCATAGAATCATGGAATCATTAAGGTTGGAAAAGACCTCTAAGATCATCAAGTCCAACCATCCGCCCAACACCACCATGCCTACTAAACTATGTCCTGAAGTGCCACATCTACATGTTTTTTGAACACCTCCAGGGATGGTGACTCCAGCACTTCCCTGGGCAGCCTGTTCCAGTGCCTGACCACTCTTTCAGTAATTTTTTCTAATATCTAATCTAAACCTTCCCTGACCCAACTTGAGGCCATTGTGTCTCATCCTATCGGTAGTACCTTGAGAGAGGAGACAAACACCTGCCTCACTACAACCTTCTTTCAGGTAGCTGTAGAGAGCGATAAGGTCCCCCCCTCAGCCTGCTCTTCTCCAGACTAAACAGCTCCAGTTCCTTCAGCCACTCCTCATAGCACTTGTTCTCCAGACCCCTCACCAGCCTCATTGCTCTTCTACATAGATAATAAGGGTTAGATACCAGGGTCTGACACAAACATATCCATCATTAATGTGTGCAATGACTGAATTCAAGGAACTAAATGAAAGAGGGAGGGACAGGGGTGTTAAAGGCCTTGTTAGGAGTTACAGAATCACAGAATGGTAGGGGTTGGAAGAGACCTCTGTGGGTCATCTAGTGCAACCCCCTGCCGAAGCAGGGTCACCTACAGCAGGCTGCACAGGACCTTGTCCAGGCGGGTCTTGAATATCTCCAGAGAAGGAGACTCCACAGCCTCCCTGGGCAGCCTGTTCCAAGGCTCCATCACCCTCAGAGGAAAGAAGTTCTTCGTCATGTTCAGAGTTAAGACTTTCTGAATCACAAGCAAATGGGTATAACAAAAAAAAAAAACCCCAAACGGAAAACCTCCTCCTAGTTTGTTTAAAAAGATGTGCCTGGGGAGGGAGACGGAAGAATGGGAGGAGAGTAAGGGCTGTGAAGGCGGTTTGGAACGGAACCTGAGTGGTTCAAAGCTGGAGCAGCAAGAAGTAGGGTCACCTTGTGAGGAAGGAAAGCAGAGCTGAGGGGCGCGTGAAGCTCAGAAATCCGCTGCGGTTTCCTGAGAGGTACACGCAGAGATGAACTGGCAAAAGCTCGCTCCCGGGAGGATCAAGCGCAGAGTACGTGACACCGAGTCACGCCTCGGGTGCCTGACAGCACGGTTCGGCACGGCCAGCCCTGCGCTCCCCTCAGCCAGAGCGAGGCGA